ACTTTCATATTGCGGTCTTTGCCTGAACGTGTTTGTTTGCTGCCTGGACTGTAGCAGTGAAGCCCTTGGGGCCTTCCTCAATTCCTGCAGGAAAGTTAACGTGTGATGGGAGGACGCTGGCCAGGACCTTACGTGGGCCCATATTTCAGCCAAGCTGATTCTCAGTCAGGGTGTTGACTCCCGGCCGTACATCGAGTAGAACGGGGAGAATCCTGTCGAAGCGTGTGAGGCCATTCGGTACGCTGCGGCATAGTGTGGACGGAATAGTGAGATTCAACCTTTGAACCATTCCATCCGTCTCCGGGTGGTAAGCCGAGGTTCGCAGCTTTTAAGTGGCCAACATAGCGCATATCTCTTTCAGGAGCTGGGATGAAAGATTATGACCCTGTTTTGGCAGCAATTGCTTGGGGAAGCCCTTATCTACCACATAACCATTTCTGAATGCCTCCGTGGTAGATTTTGTCATCTGATCTGGGAGGGGTCATGCCATGGGTCAACAGGTCAAGTATTCAGCCCCAACCAGCAATAACGATTCCCGCACAGTGTTGCAGAGAAGGGGGACCCAGGGTTAGATCTAAGGCAACCATTTAATTCACCCTAGAGACAGTAATGGATTGTAGTGGAACTATTGGCGCACAAGGGGGCGGTTTTCATCGTGCGCAATATTAGCACGTACTCGGCAATGGATGAACATACCCGGCCAATAATAGTGAAGTTTCATGATGACGTGAGTATTTCTGTCGCTCAGGTGCATGAGCTGAAGCATGTAAATATGCCCAAATAATATCCTGCGCAAAGGGCTAAGAATAAGAGCGCATTGACGCTGCAAGGCCATATCCCAACACATCCAGCAGAAGGCCCTCCCGATGTAAAAGATGTGACAACTGATGACTGAGACGCAGGCCTCTTTGTATTTTCGGAGTCCCCAATGGTGTTTAAGGATCCCAACCCATAACCCCCAAGCATCAACTGGTCTCTCTCCAGCCCTGCTGACACTGGGGCCATAACCTGGCTCCCTTCTGGGTCAATGTCTTTACGGTGCGCAAACCTGTTGTGCACGTAAGCCCAACCGAGGAGCCTAGTCGAGCCAGAGCATCTGCATTAGAATGGTGGGCACCTTTGCGATAAATGATATCCATAATTAAATTCCTGAAGTCGCTCAATCCATCTAGCCATCTGGCCCGACAGCTGGTCGAATCGCAGAGAGTATTATAAAGCCACGTGGTCAGTGCGTACTAGACATTTCTGGCTCGACAAGTAGGGGTGGTACTGGTGCATGAAGTGCACAACTAACAACAGTGTGTGATTGGTTTTGCAGTACTTTTGTTTGGCGAGAGACAGAATGCGACTGCAGTACGCTATAATCATTACCCTTCCATTTTGCATCTATGACAATACTGCCCTGACAATGACATCACTAGCATCAGTGTCTAGAATAAAGGGAAATGAGAAATCCGAGTACCTGAAAGGAAGCGCCACCATCGGGCACATGCTCGGCACCCCATAAAATCTCTGTTTTTTTTACTTTAAGCGCATGCAGTGGCTTCTCACCTTCAATGCTTCATCATCCAGGGTCCTAGGAATGCCCTCAATGCCTCCGGGGAGTCATGTCGCTGGACTCTATTGGAAGATAAGGACCCGTCCCAATACCAATAGGGATGGCGCCAGCTAAGCGCCGTGGACAGCTTTCCCCGACGCCAGTCGCTGTCAGCATTGTGGCCGCAACTCTGCAGCCATTGCAAGAGCGGCAAGGAGCGGTTACCAACTCGCCGGGATATGTGCCGTGGTTGCTGGGGTCGTGCCCGACGCCGCCCAGAGACCTGGAAATGACGGCTGCTGTGCAGCTCAGCAGCCGGGTCTCCCATCATCATCGCCGGCCCAGCCGTCCGAGCTCCTGGTGGCTGTCGCCACTGCGCCGGACTCAGTGGGCGCCGCTCAATCGCACAGCTTCAAGGTGGTGCCTCGAGCTGCTGCGGAAATCGCGAGCATGGCCCCTCGACCAGTAGAGCAACAGAACGGCCCCAGGGCTCTGCAGGGGACCGAGGGTGCCGTAACTCAGCTGCTGCCCTCGCTGTCAGTGTTGTGGAGAAATGCCTCAATAGTTGGGGTAGGTGGAAAACGTCTTGGCAGCTGGCGGGAGTTGAGAGGCATTCGTGGACGTGCCGACCTAGGATGCCCTCCCACTCCCTCGTGTGCCGTGCCGGCCTTAATAGGTGCTTGCTAACAACACCTGCCCCAACAGTTTGCAAAGGCTATAGGGGGGATCTTTGTCTTGGTGTATGAATGTAATTGTCATGCCTGTTGCGAGTACACGTATGGATTTTTTTTTAAAGGCAGACCCGGATTTAAATGATGTCATAAAGAGGCATGCGAGAGTAGGTTAGCAATGCTTTTGGAAAAATTAATATATTAGAGTCATGAAAAGCTATCAGCGTATCATGTGTCCCTTTTCCAGTGGCTTAGTATAAATCCTAGCTCCACGTTTCAGTAATATTTTTGTTCCCATTTTCTGTGTCACTGTAAGTGGGTTTGATAAATATGTAATCACAAGTAATATGCAATGATGTAATACGATTGTCTTTCGATACACTGGTATGATTAAAAGGTGAAAGTGCCAAAAGAAGTGTGGTGATGTGCATACAGTACTTGGAATTACATCGAGGGACAAAAATAAGAACACATCTATCAGAGAACAAACACGATTATAGACATTTTTGACTGTTAAGTAAGGTAATTGGACTGGTGTAGGGACCCATCTTGTCTGGAAGGCACGATGGCTGATGATTGAGACTGATAATAATAATAGAGTGGCATCCAAAAGAGAGTTCACGTACAGACGTCACCGTGGATATGGGGCAATTAAATTCGTTTGTGTGCTGGTGATGGATTGATTCATGCAGCAGTATAGAGATCATGACTGCTGCCACTGATGGCAGTAATTTTAAACAGTAATTATTTTTATATTCTTGGTTCTTTCGGTAAAGTCACGTAGAAGGGAAACAATAAAATAACAAATCTATTTTTTTATTATTTTATTGTTTCCCTTCTACGTGACATTACCGAAAGAACCAAGAATATTAATCCCTGCAGTCACGAAAGCTTTAAATCAGTAATTATTTTATTAGTAATGTTTTTTTTTGCAGGATGAAATCTGACTACCTGGTGAAAACGAATCCATATGTCATAGCCGGGTAGCGGTAACTTGTTGCTTTGTTTACCATATACAGTACATACATATGCACTTTGGAGCGGTCGGGGAGAAGTGGTTAAAGTGTTGCACAATGCATCTGGCAACTTGAGTTTTTTTTTATTTATGACAACATACGATCAGGGACAAGTGATATGTGAACTGGTGATAGACCCCAGCCCCTCACTACCTAGCACTGACCAACACAATGAACTCGGTCAAACAGCCGACGTCACTGAAACAGCGTTGGGAGACCTTTGTTCTAACAGTGGAATATTTATAGAATTGCACCCCGTCGTATTCGTGGAATATCTATCACCCTGTATATGCACATTTGCAAACACAATTGTACAGATGGAAATTGTTGTGTTCCCATTGCTGTGATTTTTCAATAAATATATTTGGCTCAAAACCAGGCCTCCCAGAGCGAAGTTATAAGTTGACAATACCGAGAAAATACAACTTTTTCTACAATGGAAGAACCATATTTTATACCAGTATCTAAACAAATAATAAAACATTTTATTGCACCTGTCACGAACAGCAAGCTCATTTAACATGTTAGAGGGTCCCATCTAGAAAACAACAGCATAAGTATACCTGGGGCAATAATTGAGGGCAGGCGGGTATCAAAATTATTAAATAACGTGGTGCGCGTTAGCGAGATGGACTTCCATTGGATATTCAATTTGACCATGAAAAGCAATACGCCATTACAAACTATGAAACTATTTAAACACTTTTTATTTTGCCAGGTAAGGCCCACTAAGCTGCTAGCTCTTTTTCAGAAGCGACCTGACCACAAATGATAGCTCTACAAAGTGGCTTATCACGTGCAAATTTATAGCAACCAAATACTCTAAACGTGGAGGGGAAAACCGGAGGACCCGGATAAAATTTAACGCGACTATGGGAACAGAGAGACATACAAATGTTAAATATACAGGCATCAGGGTAGGGACCAAACCTACGACCTTGCATACCAGGCGAGGAAGTTAAAGTCTTTAATCTCGCCATTGCGGTGAGATTAAAGGTTTTAGTCAATGCGTATCATCAGTCATAACATGGATTGTAAACATGGACCCTGGAACAAAAGCTAAAAAAAAGTGTATAAAGAAGAATGAAGAGATGCATACTGGCAATTATACTGAGACAAATAAAGGAACACATGGATCAGAGAACAAACACTAAATGTGGACATCGTGTTGACTGTTAAATGTAAGTGGGATTACACAGAGCACTGCTAGAAGGGATGATGGAAGAAGCAAATGCGCCCGAGAGCACAACCGACGTGGAGATGGATTGGTGAGGGCAGCTCATGCGCAGAAGCGAGATGAATTGTTGCATCGCAAGACCTTGAGATGTGGCAGCGCCTTGGGGGCCTTCATTCAGCGGTGGATAGATCATATGGCTGGTGATCACACTTCTTACCACATCCCGTTCAATGGACGAGCGGACATTGATAATGTCACTGTTTTCTTTGTCAACATTACATTTACATAATGTCGTTTAAAATGTGAGCCTTATAAAGGTATTATATAACTACAATGCAGCCTATGAAGTAGAGTACTTGGTGATTCTGCGTTGTCAGTGGTGCACAAGCACAATGAGAAAAATACTTAATACACTTTGTGACATTTCTGCAAATGGCCCTTTTATGAAATGTCACCCAATTATATATATAATTTTTAAGGCAGTGTTGATAGCAAGTGGGTTGAGCCTATACGGTTATGTGTTGTGTTTTTTTAGCTTTATTGATGGTGTTTGACAGTCACAAATTGCGTTGTTTACAAATTGCGTTGTCTACCCTTAGGCATATGGAGGACACCGATCAGGAAAATATTGTGGTGGAAACTCCCTCGAAAACCAAGTTAAGTTTAAATATTCACAGAAAACTGAAATTTCCTATCAACTAAAATATGTATTTTTTCATATCTATGTTACATACATTTAATGTAGGAGATATTAGTAAAATTAAAACTTATATTGCTCCAGTGTTAACATTAGGATATATTGTAACATCGAATGAAACATGCATGAAGGAAACTAAGTTTAAAGTAACACTTTTCCTTTTACACACATGCGTGCAGTACTGTAAATTGAAATTTTAATAATTTGGAAGCGTTATTGCACATGGATGTGTTTCGGAAAGAAACAAACTGTGGAAATATTAATCGCACCCTCCTGTGCTGTCTTAACAGGGCTTCTCACGAGTCCTGGTTTTGTCATCTCTCAGCGCAGCTTTTGGCTCATCCTTCATCTACGGCTACAATCTGTCAGTGGTGAATGGCCCTTCAGATGTACGTATTCCATGACATGTTTTTGTTCAAGTACATGTAGATACGTAGGCAATATTGGATTGTTCAACTACTGTCATAGTTAACCAAAAGCTAATAATTATGATGACACCTCCTTTGTCAATCCACTTGAGGATGAAGGCCTCCCTACACTGTCGATCACAGGGTGTTATTTGACCACGTCTCATGCTGTTCAGTGTTGGTTGGTGAATACTCTTTGGTTCTTTCGGTAAAGTCACGTAGGTATAAAACAAAATACATTAAATCACGACGTTTCGGGCACAACGCAAGTGCCCGTCGTCAGGTGGAAACAACCACAGCAATAAACAATTCAGCAATTCAGCAATTTGTTGATTGCTGTGGTTGTTTCCACAATTCAGCAATTCAGCAATTTGTTGATTGCTGTGGTTGTTTCCACCTGATGACGGGCACTTGTGTTGTGCCCGAAACGCCGTGATTTAATGTATTTTGTTTTATACCTACGTGACTTTACCGAAAGAACCAAAGAGTTTGGATCCCTGCAGTCACGAAAACTTAAAATCTAGATTGGGTTGGTGGAGTTAAGGTTTCCCTAAGACTGATTTAGATATCACTTGCCACTGATGTTAACTAATGGAAGCGTAACAATGCATTGATTTATTGATTTATATTGGTATTTGATATTGCAATACAGGCAGTAAACCATGTGCATATGGTTTAATGTTTGTATATTCGCTAATGTTGTACGTAATGGGTTCGCATGACTCCTGCATCAATTAGTGGAGCTACAATTAACTGCAATGTTAAAAAAAACAATCTATTCGTGAATCAATCTGTGACTGAACCACAACAATGCATTGATTCGCTGCAGATGTCTTTTAACTAGCCCATTAAATGTGTTCATTTTATTGTTATACCGAACTATAGTGTAGGCCACAACATTGCACAGCTAATTTCCTTTTTCAGTTCATCTTTGTGTTAAAGATCAACAATGTCCTCCAGACAGTCTCGTCCCTTCACCTGATGAAGGCCGCTTGTGTTGTGGCCGAAACGTCGTGATTTTTTTGTTATTTTATTTTCACCTACGTGACTTTACCCAATAGAACCAAAGAGTATGGATCCTAGCAGTCACGAAAGCTTTAAATCTAGAAATGTTAACATTCTTTTTAGAATTGAATTTTTTTAAATTCACAAACTTAGATTTAGTAATCTTCATTGCATGTGTTATGTATATGTACATATCATCTAGATGGGCTCTATAGAGTTCTTCTAAGTGGAGGCCCTTGCTCTAGTAGTGTTGTGAGCATGTAATTTCAGGGCTGAACCTTTACCACGTATAGGTACATAACATATACAGATAAATGCATAGATGGTGTACTTTGACCATGCTAATCGCACCTCCAATTAACATGGTTGGCTACGTATGGTGCAAAAGAAGTTCAACACTGGCACACATATATACACACTGCACATACTTAAAATAAACCTGAAATGGATTTGTGGAACTTTTCAAAATGACATTCAATTGCTTTTGGCTGGGCTCTCTCTTTGTAATCTATTTTAAAATGTTGATAACTTGCTTAATTTAATTCAATGACCCCGAGAAATTTCAATGGACAAAATAAACCTTCTGTTGTGCACTCTTTGGATTGGAGAACATGACCACTTTGATTTGGTTCGGTCTGTGTGGCAGTCTAAACCCAATATTATTTCTGTCCCGAACGTTGTTGTGTATGGAGCGTACAACATCAATTTTGAACATGACATTAAACACATTCAGGTGAATCGTGAGAACATTCAGTATATTCTCTAAATGCCAAAGTTATATTTTCCTATCAAGTCGTATAATGTCATGCCAGATGACTTTGACTGTTCAATGATGAATGGTCATATAGTTCTGACACAAGGCCTGCCAATGAGGGAACAGTTTACCCCAACCATAATTGTAGCTGAAGGTTCATTGAAAGTGTTTTGGCAATGACATTAATCATTATTGCCTCCACCATTCTTACAGCGAAAAAAAGCAGTCATCTGCTATAGCCTCTATTTGATGTTATTTACATATAAATTGGAGAATTATAGTGGTAAACGTTGGTATTTATACGCTTTCTTCTGCAATAAGAGTCATCACGCATTGTGTGTGTTGCTCAAAATAAGTGGCTTACACAAGTTAATGCAGTATTTTTTAAAGGTGTGCTCACTTGAATAGGAGTAGATTTGTCAGGTTGTTCCATGGGAAATGTTAGGTAATGTCTTCAATGGCAACTTGCGTAGCAATGTTTGCAAAAATGCATCATTATTAACGGAGCATTTTGGCATATTTAATGGAGGGATTGGAAATGTAATTGTTATTTGCTTTTGAATGAGATTAAGGAAGTTAAAATTGGATTGACCTCATTCTAAATGGGTTTGCTGCTTTCTCAAATCACTGCTGGTGGAAGTACCTCAACTAAATGTAGGTCTAGAGAGTATTTGGCCTACTCTTCTATGCTGACTGAGATGTCTTAGAACAGGTGGGAGTGCCCACATTTTACCCTGCCACACACGACCTGCATATTGACTAACTGTGCTAACGCCAGAAGACGTCTCCCATTTTCTCAGTTGCCCAAAACGCGGACCAAAAATTTAATCGATTGATCTCTGGTTAAACCCTTCTAAAGTGGCGACACAATGCCACCTATAAACAGAAAGTGCGAGGAAAACAACAACAACAACAACTAATTGTGCTAACTGTCCTATGCATATTCTTGAGTCTTTCAGTAAAGCCATGTAGATAGGTTCAGAGACAATAACAAAAAGTAACAAAAACTACGACGTTTCGATCGCAACACGAGCAATCATCATCAGGAGAAAAAATAGCGGGAAAGCTGCTGAGGCAGGATGTTTTAAAGGTTTCAAATGGGTGTAGCCCAATGGTCATAAGCGAAGTGGGCGGGGCTAGTGATATTAAAGTGAGAAATTTGCATGTCAATGTAAAGCCGGAGAGCTACCTCCATGACGACGAAGCTGCGGAGGTGGCCATTGTATTGTGAGAGATTAGCATGTCAATGTAAGATCGCAGAGCCACCGCCACATCGAAGAAAACGAGCAACGGTGGCTGTGTTAGTGAGACATTTAACCTGTTAATGTAAAGACATTTAACCTGTTAATGTAATACCAGAGAGTCGAAAATAACTACTAACATAGGAAGGTAAGATGGAAACATCGCAGCCAGTTATGACTTAAACTGATTAATAACGTCCTTCCAATGATTGCTCAGTTTGTACCCATTTTCTCGGTTGAAATTGTGTCTGTGTCTATATATATGGATGGCTTCATGAACGAATCTTTGGTGATAGCCAGTGGGCTTGCAAAGTACCTTCGTCTTAGAGAAATCAATTTCGTGTCAGCCCACTACATTAAAACAATGATCAGCTACGGTTGAGGTATTGGTCCTACCGTGTGTCAGATCTGCCTTATGTTCACGAACACGGTCTGAGACATGTCGCTTAGTTTCCCCAATGTAACTACTGCCGCAGACACAGCTTAGTTTGTAGACGCCGGGGTATTGCATGTCAGGGATCACATCCTTCACAGATGGGATCAGATCACGAATTTTAAGTACTGTGTTAAATTGAACCTGGATTTTGTGTTTGCTCATGATTTTTGAAATATTTTTAGTGACCCCTGCTATGTATGGCAAGGTGATGGTTTTGTTTGGGTCCTCAGATGGTTCTCTCCCAACGGTTGGGGTGATAGCTTTATGGCTTGTGTGGTCTGAATATCCATTCGTTTTGAGAGCTTGGTGCACGTGATCCAGTTCACTGGCTAGGTGATGACGGTTAGAAATACATCGAGCTCTATGGTGTAGAGTTTTGATGAGGGAATTCTTCTGGGATGGATAGTGGTGGGAGTCAGGTTTTGGGTAGGCATCCGTATTGGTGGCTTTCCTGTAGACAGTGTCCCATTGTCCTATGCAGTATAGTAAGTATACGTTCTGATAGTTTATTATCATCTGTGATAAATTCAGAGACAAAAACCCCCACCTCTGTAATATTAGTGTAAGGTTAGTGCTCTGCATGATGAAACCAGTGACTTGAGTTCGATTTACAGATACGGTTAACAACAGTAGTGAGTGATATCTGAACCAGTCCTGTCACCAACACTCACCAGCTTGGTGATGTATGGTAAAACAAAAATCATATGACCAACATGCCATGGGCAGACATTCATCCAATTGACAAATGGTTGAAAGTTATTTTTTAAAATATATAATATTAGTCACATTGGATATGTAGTTCATATTAACTGTATGTCATGTTGAAACATTAAAAAGTCATACCTGACATAATGTACTTTAGAAACACTGCAATTTACCTTACAAATCCGATTTGACGGATGACGATGATGATGCTGTATATGCTCACGACATTTTGTTGACGTCTCAGTGTGTTTTCTTTTTAAAACGTTTTGTCGATCCATTTGAATGAGGCCCTCTCTCCACCCTTGTTGGTCGTTAAGGTTGTTTGACCATACTTCAAGCTGGTCAGTGTGGGTTGGCAAGGGGGGGTAGGCCAGCACCGGTGGTTGATTCATCTCTCGCCACTGACGTTAGCCATAGCCGGGAGTCAAAGTCAAGGTCGCCAGGCACTTAGCACAGTACGCTAAGTGGCGGCAATTGCTGCTCTGCAGCTGTGTTTATACCACCCTTAACAAATATATCACGTGATCATAAGTATTATTTCAGAGAATATAAGAAACAAAATAAAGTAACAATAAATAATTAGGCAGTACTCTTATAAACGTATAAAGATACATAGTATCTATTATACATGAGACTATTGGCTGCAAAAATCTACATGTTAGGTTATTTAGAAGTTCACCGGCATTGGTTCAAGCAACCTTATTCTGTACTTCTTTGGTTCTTTCGGTATTTTATCAATTTATTATTTTATTCTCATTCTACGTGACTTTACCGAAAGAACCAAAGAAGATGAATCCTTGCAGTCGCGAAAGCTTTAAATCGAAATTTATTCTGTACTCTTTGGTTCTTTCGGTAAAGTCACGTCGGTATAAAATCAAATAAATCACGACGGTGTAAGGTATTTCACCTTATTCTGCTGCAGAGATACTGAATGTTCAAACCGGTCCAGAGGTTTCTGCTGAAAATTATACACTCCCAGAAAATCGTATGGCTATGTAAAAAATGCTGTTATTTATGTGGAGGGACAGATATGAAGAGGCATTATCGTCTGCTTGCTTATTTGATTACTTGACACATTAAACCCTTGCTTTCTCTCTGACCAGTACATCAAGGATTTCTTCAACACAACATGGGTGGATCGGTGGAGCACATCACTGTCAGACAACTCGGTAACGCTGCTGTGGTCTTTCACCATCGCCATCATGTCTATTGGGGGCCTTGTAGGAGCCCTGATCATGAGGTTCATGGTCCAGCGCTTTGGCAGGTACATTTAGACCCTCCGGTGTAAGGTATTTCATTTAAATTTTCATCTGTACAATAAAAAAAAGTTTTATGGTGAAAGAAAAAAGGCGATGCAGTTTGCCCATGTAGTGCTTTTAATATTACACTTTAGATATGCAGCACCTAGAACCACACTTAGGTTTGAATGATTTTTACACAAGCATTGTCAAAATGAAGACAATATAAAAAATTATACACTCCCAGAAAATCGTATGGCTATGTTTATTATTTTATTGTTTCCCTTCTACGTGACTTTACCGAAAGAACCACGAATATGAATCCCTGCAGTCACGAAAGCTTTAAATCAAAATATAATAAATTGTTGATTACATACTAATAGTATACTTGCTTTGAAGCCTAATCTTTATATGGTTGTATGATAAAAGTGTTTATATTTTTCTGTTGGTTATGGAGAGGCCACCATCTAACAGTGGATTGACAGAGGCTGTGAATTGTTTGGTTGATATTATTGTAAAAAGTAAAATGTTAATCTGTATTTTTAGCAATATTTTTTCCAAAAACTGTTTCCACTAACATGTAGATACTAAATTGTACACATTTATATATGTTGCTGTTTCAGCTACTATAAATGAAATTAAAAGGTGAGTATTTAGCTTTGAAAAACATTTTTAAAAATTCCACCGCTGTATTTGGGTTTCTTGCACATGGTTACTGTGGCTGTTTTTTTTCCATTTATGACCATTATGGGCTTAACCCATCTATGTTTGTCAATCCATGACTCCCTTTTTCATTGTAATTCCAAGCATGGAGAAATGTGTACTTGGTTTTAATATTATCATGCGTAAACAAGTTGAAGATGTTAATGGTGCCAAGCCTAATTTAATCAGACTGCAATGTCTGCTTGTAATTATTTGTGGCATATCATCTCAGAGGTCATACATTACGGTACATTTTCCACGTGAAAAAATATTCCTTGGGAAACGGATTTTTGTGAAAAAAAATGTAGTTTTGTATTAATTTCTGAAGCACATAAACCCCAACAAAACATTGTACCCATGTATATATATGTTTTACACTCATATCGGATGTAATTATTTTGTAGATGAGATGCGTGCGGGTTGTAGTGAGGTCGAGGGGTGGGTTTTACCAAGAAAGAGTGAAGGTCATAGATGTAGGTTGCGACATGTTAACTCCCTCCCCTGGTATGGAGTATATTTGGAGTTTGAATGTTTTCCCCTTAGTTGCGTAGAGTTTTTTTCCAGGTCTTCTGGTTTTCCCCTCCACATTTAGAAACGTGGGTTTAAGAGTATGTCTACTCTACATTTCCAGGTAAGGCTCAGTGGGCCTCACCTGGAAAAAAAAAAATAGTTTAGTTTAAGATAACAATCGTTAACAGATGACCTTTTTAGCGTTCGCCCCATCTGCTTCTGTCATCTCCAGGAAAGGCACGCTGCTCCTCAACAATGCCCTGGCCATCCTGGCAGCCTTGTTGATGTCACTGTGTTTTCTCGCGGGCTCCTGGGAGATGCTCTTCCTGGGCCGCTTCGTGGTGGGCATTGATGCAGGTGTGATTCCCCTCGTCATACCAATGTTACCATCCTTGTGACCCTTTATTTGTTTTCTAATTGCAGCAGTGATTGACGACAAGACCTGGCACAAGCGTATGTATTAAGGATTGAACCTCCAATTCGATCACAGTGTCTTTTTGAAGGGATGAAAGATAATTTATAATTATACTGCAGTGTATCCATCGGCTGGAATTACGTTTGTACTGTGGTCGAGTATTGCTCAATGAGAGGCTTTATCCCCACCTTTATCTGGCAGCTTGTAATTGTAGTTGCATTCTTTCCTTGTTATCGGTTGTAACAAATTATATTTTTCTCAATTACCCGTTGACACTTTGGTCGACTTTCAACAAGTGAACCATGGTCATCAATAAAGGTATTCACACATTCTATGTGTTTGAAAACACTATGTTATGCAGCATCCACACATGTTAGTTGTGGCTCACTTGACCTACAAAGCCAGATAGATATTTCTTTCTCCTGTGTGCATGTTAAAAATACAAATATTTAAAATGCTACGTTTTTGTAGTCGTGTTTGCATTGTAGTGTTTATAAAGCTGGAGTTATTAAAAAAATAAGCAATGAAGTTTGTTGTTCCCAATTATTTTTTTAAAAACCAATTTATGCAGTGGTTTTTCTTCAATTTACTGGGCTGAGACATTTTTGAAGCAGAGCTGCACTGCTGTTTTGGGGGGGATAATATTTTCTCTTGCTGCTGCAATTTATTAAACTGATAAATGGTTCTACAGTTATGTTGTATTGTGAATATGTAACTTGTATTGGAGCCAAACATCCCAGTGCTAAAAAAATAATCTGCAAATTTCTAAATTTGGATTACACATAGCAATTTTACTGCGAAAACTTAGCAGGATCCTCCTGAGAACGTCTTGAGACTTATCACGGCTTTCCTGGGTAAACAAGCTTAACTAAATTTTGATTTAAAGCTTTCGTGACTGCAGGGATTCATATTCTTGGTTCCCTTCTACGTGACTTTACCAAAAGAACCAAGAATAATCTTAACTAAATTATAATTGTCCTCAGTTGCTCTGTAATATTACAGTTCACTGTTACTTAATGCTGTTAGAGTATATGACAGTCTAATAAAGTGCAGTGCTGAAGAGTTTTTTTTTTAAAACTTAAGACATTTACTGCCCTATAGTTGTACAAAAGGTTGAAAGATAGGCGATGGACCTTAAAACTTAGTCCTGAGATGAACCTCAGAACCTCAAAACCGCTGCCCTATAGTTGTACAAAAGGTTGAAAGATAGGAGATGGACCTCAACTTAAGTCCTGAGATGAACCTCAGAACCTCAAAACCGCTGCCTCTGCCTATTGTTAGATGAGAGGTTATATTTTCATTACTCAAGCTTTTTAGTGTGCTGTTTGTGTGCTTAAGTTTTGGCTTACAAAGTAACTTTCTAAAATAACTAATTTTTACTTTTCCAAACTGCAAATATGACCGTGTTTGACAAGTCTTGTAACGACTTACTTGAAAGCTGGATGTGCCTTACTATTTTTAGTGACAATACATTTAATTCCATGCGCCATGGTGAATGTTGATTTTAGCTTTTTACTCTACTTTCAAGTTTGAATACCTATGTTTATAAAATACTAGCAGTCGTATAACAATTACATTAAATTCCCATTACTCCTGTCCAGCTTCCACAAACTCGTAGCTCATGTTAGGATAGACTTTAACTGTTGTATTTGTATAAATTCAATATTGCATAATAAAGATATGAACCTTATGGTGGCACCCCGGGCTCCTGAATAAACAAAAGTCAAAATCGTAATTAATCTATTTTTGGCGACTCCATCCCACCGCGCATATAAACGCCGCTATCCACCTGGCACGGATCATTCTGTTCTTCACCAAAGCATCGGTCGTTGCCAAAATTGCTGTAGTCATAAACAAAACTTCTAAACTTCGATTAGCGCATCGTATAGAGCTTGTCGAGAGGAATAGATTGCCGTATCGCTCGCCTTCAACAGACATAAAATGACGTCGCAACACAGTTTGTGCGAGAGCCGGGGGCTTATCGGACCCCGGGGTCCCGCCATAAGGTTCATTTGACAATTCACCACGCCAGCAGTTAGATTAATTGTCTCCATTCAGGGTTGTGATTCAATTTACTAATTTATTTTGTTTTGTCTCGTTTCTACCTCGTTTGTATTGTTTCGAGTATTTTCCACCTTAGTGCAGTTTTGTTCATGCATTAGCATGACTGTAACTTTTAAATATAATTTGCAAACTATTTTGAAGTATACTAAACCTTATATTTCCACAGTATTTATTTGTGAGCATAAATATACATTTGAATGAATTGATGCATCATGACATGCCTACTCATTAAACAGTCCTACTGTGTTGTGTTGTCAGGGCTTATGTTCTCATGAAATATTTTCCCTGGGCCCCAACCCTCACCTGCCCCTGCCACCCCACCCTTCATCAGGGAAATATTTTCTGGAACTCAGCCCTGGACAGCTTTGGTTGAAATTAAGCCTTGGTTTTATCAAAATGTAATACAGCGAAAATGTCATCCTCAGAAGAACGATGGACATTGAATATCAGATTTCCCTTTCTACGCAGGCATCTCCCTGAGCGTCCTGCCCATGTACCTTGCGGAGATCTCCCCAAAGAATCTACGCGGATCCACGGGCCAGGTTTCTGCCATCTTCATCTGTCTAGGAGTCTTCACCGGGCAGGTGCTGAATTTGAAAGAGGTGTTAGGCCAGGTGCGTTTAAATCACAATCGCACACGTGTCATTTGTATTCCTCTGTGACGTTTTGTGTTTGGCAATAATATACGACTAAGAGCGGGATATCTTTCTTTTGTGGTATTCAAAAACGTGCTCTAACATGTGCTTCTTATGTGTTTTAATATTTCTGTAATGTTCAGTTTTAGTTCTGTTATGTACAATTCACACAATTAAATTTTATTCATATGATACTGTTCACATATGGCAGTTCTTACAAAATAAAAAATATATGAAATTGATGTGGCTTTTCATAATTGAAGTTTTGAAGTGGAGGAATGTTTTAAGTGATAAATAAGGTTATTTTACTGTTCCTGTGAGTGACAGTTAAGTTGTGTGACCTTGGGCTTGGGATGTGCTTGTCTACCATTGCCCTTTCTTTCCCTGGCACCTTCTGCCCCTTCATCATGGTGGCAGGAGTCGCATTGGAGCATCTTGTTCGGCATCTTGGTAGTGCCACCCCTCGTGCAGCTTGCCACCTTGCCCTTCATGCCAGAGAGTCCACGCTACCTTCTTCTAGAGAGGCAAGATGTCAAAGCAGCAGAGAAAGGTGCCATTCGTTCAAATACATGTCAGGGTATCTCTAAAGGTATTAAGTAAAGGTACACCCCTGAAATGTCTTGCTCAAACTACTGCTGGTGGAAGGGCCTCCACTAGAGGGTTTTTGGCCTACTCTTTCACACTGGCCACTTGTCTTGGTGGAGGTGGGAGTACCCAAACGTTATCACACCACACGCAACCTAAAATTCGACCAATTATATTACTGCTGAGTGAACTGAGGTGTGGGGGTAGTTAATAAACTTTCCAATTGATTCAACTGTCATTCCGCGAGTTTGAACCAACGACCTCTGCATTTCAAGCCCATTGTGCGAACCATTACACAATGGCAGCATCTGATATATAAACGTACCATCTGTTATCAAACAATTAGAATCAGAAAGACATTTTGAATGCATAGTCGAATGTTGGGGCTATAGTAAATATTGTTTGCAATTTTTATTTTAATCTCGAGTGATCTTCACTCAGAACAGAAACATTCAAAACAATTACACTCGAGATATTCGCAAACAGTATATTGTTAGAGGAATGAGACTCATGTTTGATCAAATCTTCACACTACCAAGTGTGAGTGTCTTTGTACAGTTGTATTGACCTAGCTCAAATAGCTGTTGAATTACCATTCTTTAAGAATGTATTAATCTTTCGTGGACACCTTGTATGTCTTTGTTGAATTGTCCTACATGAGCGTGTTTATGTTCCACAAGACCAATGAAACAAGATTAAGTTACATTGTAGCTTTTTCTTTTCCCGCACCTTCTTGGAACCCATTGAATGGCACGGAAAATTCCTTGGTATAGAGAGTAATGTAATATATCCTGAAGCAAGTAATTTGTCCTGTGAAAACGACTTAATGTCATGGACGTGGGATCGCAACATTGAATGACGAAAACGTATCGGACATTAAACAGTTAACGTAACATGGTTACACGGCAAGACATCAGGTTCTTTCTGTGACAGCAAAGCAGAGGCATGGCGTTGTAGAAGTAGGGCTTCATTACAGCTGAGTCTTTTGGTAACCTGGAAAGTACTTTTATGACTAAACAATTTTTATTTTTACCGGGTAAGGCCAACTGAGCTATGTGGCTATTTTTGAAAAGCAACCCGGCCACAAATGATAGCTCAACCAAGTAGCTTATCATCTGGACATTTATAGCAGCCAAATAGTCTTAAAAGCATGTTTTTTTAAATGTGGAGGGTAAAACCGGAGGACCGGGTGAAAAATCCACGAGACCATGGGAAGAACAAGCAAACTCGAAATATACAGCAGCAGGCATCAGGGTCGGGATCAAACCCACGACCACCTGCATACCGGGCGAGGTAGTTACCATCTCGCCACCGCGGCGAAGTATTTCCCCATCCAACACACCACATCCAGTTTACTTGCAGTTTTGGCTGTGACTAGTAATCACGTCTCCTGCAGTCGACCAGTGAGGCAGAAAATATTCAGCAAGAAATTAACGTGTGTGTAGTACAACAAGGTGTAGGCCATCACGTTATTTCCGTGATGGCAGCAGAGGCAAGGGAGGATGTCGAACCCTGATATGTTGAGTGGTTACATTCGCTCGGTGTGCACTTTCCCCTAGCCCTGCAGAGGCTGCTCGGGCGTCAGGACGTGCAACGTGAGATGGTGGAAATACAGGCAGAGGGCATTGCACAGGCACACATCAGCGTGATGTCGCTTTGGGGCCTCCTCCGTGAGCGTGCTGTGCGCTGGCAGGTCATCACGGTCGCCATCACGATGGCCTGCTATCAGCTGTGTGGCGTGAACGCTGTGAGTTTGTCGTCCGCTTCTTAACACCTTCTGCCATGAGGGTGCATGGTTAGGTTCCTGGGCCTTAATGCAGTTTTAGCATGGAAAATGAGTAGAGGATTATTCGTGCTGCTTGATGGTGACTGTCCTTCAGTGAAAAAAAGGTTAAATGTGTTTCTACTGTGTGTATATAAATAACGCTTGAGTCTGTTAATATTTTAAAGCAAAGTTTCATTTTTTACTGTAAAAAAAATGCAGAAATCGCATTTGGTTGCTTGCCAGTACACCGCTTAAAATGTGCAAATTCAGCCGAGATTCCACTGCATGGTCACGTAAATGATGGGTGCCACTGTGAATGTGCAAGTTTTGCCATACAGTGAGGGAAAAAAGTATTTGATCCCTTGTTGATTTTGTACGTTTACCCACTGACAAAGAAATGATCAGTCTATAATTTTAATGGTAAGTTTATTTGAACAGTGAGAGACAGAATAACAACAAGAAAATCCAGAAAAACGCATGTCATAAATGTTATAAATTGATTTGCATTTTAATGAGGGAAATAGGTATTTGACCCCTCTGCAAAACATGACTTAGTACTTGGTGGCAAAACCCTTGTTGGCAATCACAGAGGTCAGACGTTTCTTGTAGTTGGCCACCAGGTTTGCACACATTTCAGGAGGGATTTTGTCCCACTCCTCTTTGCAGATCTTCTCCAAGTCATTAAGGTTTCGAGGCTGACGTTTGGCAACTCGAACCTTCAGCTCCCTCCACAGATTGTCTATGGGATTAAGGTCTGGAGACTGGCTAGGCCACTCCAGGACCTTAATGTGCTTATTCTTGAGCCACTCCTTTGTTGCCTTGGCCGTGTGTTTTGGGTCATTGTCATGCTGGAATACCCATCCACGACCCATTTTCAATGCCCTGGCTGAGGGAAGGAGGTTCTCACCCAAGATTTGACAGTACATGGCCCCGTCCATCGTCCCTTTGATGCAGTGAAGTTGTCCTGTCCCCTTAGCAGAAAAACATCCCCAAAGCATATGTTTCCACCTCCATGTTTGACGGTGGGGATGGTGTTTTTGGGGTCATAGGCAGCATTCCTCCTCCAAACACGGCGAGTTGAGTTGATGCCAAAGAGCTCCATTTTTGTCTCATCTGACCACAACACTTTCACCCAGTTGTCCTCTGAATCATTCAGATGTTCATTGGCAAACTTCAGACGGGCATGTATATGTGCTTTCTTGAGCAGGGGGACCTTGCTGGCGCTGCAGGATTTCAGTCCTTCACGGCGTAGTGTGTTACCAATTGTTTTCTTGGTGACTATGGTCCCAGCTGCCTTGAGATCATTGACAAGATCCTCCCGTGTAGTTTTGGGCTGATTCCTCACCGTTCTCATGATCATTGCAACTCCACGAGGTGTGATCTTGCATGGAGCCCCAGGCCGATGGAGATTGACAGTTCTTTTGTGTTTCTGCCATTTGCAAATAATCGCACCAACTGTTGTCACTTTCTCACCAAGCTGCTTGGCAATGGTCTTGTAGCCCATTCCAACCTTGTGTAGGTCTACAATCTTGTCCCTGACATCCTTGGAGAGCTGTTTGGTCTTGGCCATGGTGGAGAGTTTGGAATCTGATTGATTGATTGCTTCTGTGGACAGGTGTCTTTTATACAGGTAACAAGCTGAGATCAGGATCACTTCCTTTAAGAGTGTGCTCCTAATCTCAGCTCGTTACCTGTATTAAAGACACCTGGGAGCCAGAAATCTTTCTGATTGAGAGGGGGTCAAATACTTATTTCCCTCATTAAAATGCAAATCAATTTATAACATTTTTGACATGCGTTTTTCTGGATTTTGTTGTTGTTATTCTGTCTCTCACTGTTCAAATAAACCTACCATTAAAATTAAAGACTGATCATTTCTTTGTCAGTGGGCAAACGTACAAAATCAGCAGGGGATCAAAATACTTTTTTCCCTCACTGTATATCTCATTTTGTGTGTCTTTGCAGATCTGGTTTTATGCAAGCAGCATATTTAGACAAGCTGGCATTGACCCAGCTATTACTCCTTATATAATCATATCCACTGGTGGAACAGAAGTCTTGGCTGCCCTTCTCTCTGTAAGCAGTGCATAGCAGTCACCACTGAACTCTACAGATTCAATATTTAAAACACAAAGCGTGGTCTTTAACGTGATCTAATATATTATCGTGCACTCTCATTCAGAATTTGCATTCCCTAATTGGGAGGCTGGTAGTCCATAAACCACAGCAGCTCCTCTGCATTACCAATGAGCGTAATTTTGCTTGTGTCGCGGTTTGTCAAGTTATTCTTTGTTATTTATAGGGTCTTGCGATTGAAAAGCTTGGAAGACGATCACTGTTGATTGTTGGATTTGGAGCGATGGCTGTGATATTTGGAGTCTTGACAGTGGCACTTAATCTTCAGGTACGCATACATAAATTATGTGTTTTAAATTAATCTTGCATGTATTTATTGGTTACAGCTTGTTTATAACTGCTTTTCTAATAAGCTGAATGCATTGCAATAATTAAATACGGTGAATGGTGACTCTTAAGAGATGTGTTATTCCTTGACAGGACTCGTACCATTGGATGTCATACCTTAGCATTGCCTGTGTCTTGGCAGTCATCGCCAGCTTCTGTATTGGACCCGGTAAGGTTAGATTTAACATTTCTGCAAAAAGTACATAATAATATACAGATCTTAGTTTAATTTACTGCTGGATAAAGGCCCCCTAACCAATTTAGTCATGGGACTTGCGCTTCACCACGGTGATCAGTACGGGTTGGTGAAGGGAGGCCCAGGGCCTGTTTATATTTTCACTCGCCGGCCATGTCAGCCATGGCCTGGAATAAAATCAGGTCACAGGGTTCATGGCTCCGTTTGCAAACTCCATCTGACACAAAAATACTTGACGCTTCATTTTTACACGATTCTGATAAAATCGCCCTATTTGGCTATGGTGCATGAGCGCACACTTGTTCCCGTATTTGGTGATTCAGGTTGGTTCTCCTAATCATTGCTCGGAATGCTATTTGCAAAGAAGAACCATTTTTTCTTACTCGAGGTCTGAGATAAAACTGAGCGCTGCTTTTTGGAACCCTCCCCCCTGGATTGGGCTATCTCTGGCTCTCCTCAATATGTGGTCATTGTGCCCATTTACAAGCTTTTTGCAGCATTATCCAGAGGACAAAATACAGCTATATGGCAGTATCCTGTCCTCTCGATGCACTTTCACAATATGCAATTATTAGAGCCTAAATTTGAAAATTATTTACATGTGAGTGTATCTCATAATAATTCTGTATCCGTGTCATTGAACCCAGTTTCACGTACAAGGTTGTTTTGATTCATGTAATCATGAATAGCTGGATTGACTCCATCATCCTCATTGCACTCTGTCAAGTGAAATTAGATGTTAATGTTTCACTTGTTTAGACCACGTGCACTGGAGTAACCCTAACAAGCATCATTACATTCCTTATGCTCCCCCCTTGATCTGATTGGGAATGGAGAGTGCCATGGGTAGATCCTGTTATCCATGTTTATATATGCATTCCATTTTTTAGATCAAAGAAACAAAGGGCAGACAATGGGATTAATTTACTTCCACCTCTGGATAACTTCTCTTATCCACGCAAATGATCTGATAATAATGAGACTAAAGCAGCACTGGGAGATCACTTATGGGTACCTTACTGTGATCCGTGCACAAGCTCAGATAATAGGGTGATGTGGAAATGACGTGCAAGTCTCTTCCTCTTATCCATGCAAATGCATGGATACATATAATAGGGTTATTATATTGCACAGGTAATAACAATGTCCACAGATCACCCAGGGTGTGCTGGTCATATGACTGACAATCACAGGTTAATTGAGACTTGGATAAGAATTGTTTTACTTTCATATGAAATCTCTCAGTTCTCTGATGCAATAAAGTGGAGCCGTGAATGTAGCTGTATGCACATTTACAGGTCTGTGATATACTGCCAGGACATTTATGCCACGTGTGATAGCGTATGCCATACAATATTAGGAACAAAATATTTCAACGGATCAAAAAGGAAACTAAGGTGTAAATGCGAAGTTTCACCGAGAGACGAGAAAGAGGAGAACATGCATCAGGGAACAATCACAAATCAGCGACATCACATTCACTGCAAAGGAACATAAATGGGCTTGGGCTGAACACATCACTAGAAGCAATGACACCCAATGGAGAATATTAGTGGCGTAATGGTAGCCGAGAGAGAGCGTGCATCTGAGAGGACAGCTGCCATGACATCAGTCCAGGTTGTGGCGTCGCAGAAACTACGGAGGGAATGGAAATGGTGTGAGGAGGCCTTTATCGAGCAGTGGATATAAAATGTCTCATTGAAGTTGGTGGGGTGATGATTTTTGTAGGTTGCCAGAGAACTCGTGGTTTGAGTTGTGCCAGCTGATTACCCTGTGAAAGGCATTAATCCATTTGTTCTATCCAGAATTTGTTTTTATATTGAAGCGAAACTCCTCTTATCTGTGCGTGATGTGGGGGTGTTATTGGCAGATCCTGTTATCCATGAATGTTGCACATATTACCCACGTGGCAATCTATGGAAATTTGTGTAGAACAGGATGACTTTGGTGCTTTTTTTTAAAGACAACTCCCTTGACTTATCTCTGAATTAATGTGAATAAAGAAAAGTGATATAGTGTTACCCACTGTTGTGTCGTTTTAGGGTGTGTTGGTGAGACATATTGTGGTGTAGTGTTTGTGTGGCGTTAGTTTAGGGTTAGTGTTGGTTCGGGTGAGTGTTGGTTAGGGTGATTCCTCTTATCCGTGGTCAAGCGCTGATAATAGGAAGAATTGATGTGCTCATATACAGGGGTTTCTGCAGATCGATCAGGGAAGGGGTGGATATAATATGAAGGGCATACAACGTATGGCAGATAAGAAGATTTTAGATGTCTGCCTTACAGCTTGTGCCGTTTGCCGAATACACTCACACAATTGAAATAACCACAGTTTCATGTTTTACTATCTACTGCTGAATACACACACTGTGTTGTTTTGGTACAGGCGGAATTCCATTTGTTTTGACTGGGGAATTGTTTGAGCAGTCTTATCGTCCAGCTGCATTCACAATCGCTGGAATTGTCAGTTGGCTGTCAAACTTCATTCTTAGCCTCGTCTTCCCATTTATTCAGGTAAGAAGCACGTCACTGAGATTCCTGTTCACAATTTGTGCGTGCCAATTGTGTGTCTTCAGTTGAGCAGGCATTGACTAAAAGTGAATGTGTGTGTTTGTGTGTGTTTGTGTATGTATGTATGTTGAACTTCGTACGCACCGTACAAAGCCAAACGTGCTAATTTATGGTTGTGGTTGGTCTCTATTTTTCCATAAAAAACAAATCACACCCAAAACTAAAATATATTGTGTCACCACCTATCATTGAGTCTATGCTCAAATGTACAATTGACTCAGATCAATGTATCATGGTGGAACAAAAAGCCTAAAATAATCTTATGTTTATTTGAAATGAATGTGTTTCAGGCTGAGATGAGCTGATAATGATATAATGTTCCGTCATTTCACGGTTTCCTTGACGAACAACTGCCGTTACTCCCCGTTGGAATGCCTCACAGTGCAATGAGATTACCGTGTGAGCAGTTATCTAAAGCCGAACATACATTACTGGTGCAGCCAAATGGCATTTAAAGTAATGAAGAAATTTAATCTCACATGGCAGCGTGATGAAGACGTTTTCACTGATGCATCGCTTCTCAAATCTTCCGGCTGCACACAGGTTGACTGAGCAGTCCATCAATTTTAAAACGCAGCGTGTCTTTGCTGCTCCAGAATGTCCTGAATGACAGGAGCGAATGCAATTGCGGGAAATGAGGGTGGAATGTTTGCCCAATAAGAGGTTAAGGCAGTGTTTTCTCTTCCGTATCTCTCAGCCTGACTGGATTTCAATCCTCTCCGTGTCTGTGTCCTTTTCTTCTTTGTGTGTCCCAGGATAACATTTTGGTTGTATGTATACATGAACACCTTTGTGTTTGACGCCCATGTGCATTCCTCACTCTTATAAAGTTTGGCTGTATGAATGCCTTCCAGTTACATTATTTTACTTATCTATCCTTATCGATTTTGGATTCCTGCTTATCTGTTGTATTCTCTTTGTAAAATGTTCTATTTAGGTCATCGATTGGATTCATTGAGGAAGTTCATCTGTAAACATTTTAACGCTCTGTTGCATTTCAGGGTGTGAAAAGTTTAATTTTTTCAGTTGAACTTGCTTGTGAAACTGACATCGCCCGTGGACTTTTCGCCCCTGAAAAAATACAAGGCTGTTCTTCAATTCCAATTCATATGATGGTTACGCTTGTTTACCCAAAAGGGCCTCACTGAGGCCGATGTTATGTTAAATCCCAATTCAGTAATTATCTGGTAATTTTTCAGCATTGAGATTTTTGGCCAATAGATTGTTTATATAAGCTATGGGAGGAAACTGGAGAATCTGGAGGAAAATTATGCAGAACAGGCGGAGAGCATACAAACTCAACAACACAAGAAGGTGCCAAAGTCAGAAATCATGAGGCACAATTGTTGTAGAATCTCCATCTTTTAAACAGATGGAAACCTAGGATTTCAGATTCATTTGCAAGATGAAGTGACCCACATAGTGATGATGAATCTTGGATTTAAATCATCCCAATACTAAAGCTCTCAGGATGTCCCATACTTCACTACACGTGCTGGGATTTTCTGAAGAAAGCTCCCAGCATGTGGAGCAAAATATCGGACATCATGTGAAAACAACACACGGTACATTCCAAAAATACATTGAGAGTTCTACAGCGTAGCCTCTGTAGTAGTACCCTAAAATACTTGTTGCGAAACGATTTGTCACAACATCATCATCATAAGCACTGGCAAAACAGTTCAGGGATGGCCATTTGGATACGTATCTTTGCTGTCGAATCAATAATTCATGCATGGATGTGCTAAATGATCCCCACCTGTCCAGGGCTTGGCAATGTGTGTGTGTTTCCTATGACTAATACGCGGAAGTCAGGCTTGCGATTGTGACATCGGCGGTTTTTGAGATGTACACGAGGAACCAAGCGTGAGTGCCCCTACGCTTATTTTAATGGATCACCATTGCACAGCGATGACTGCACTTTTACTGTCTAGCTGTCAAGCCCGTAGTGGATGATTGGGAGCGAATTAAGATTAATTGCCAAGCATTTTAACCTTTACCTCGACTGACTATGGATGAAGGCACAGTGCACCGTGGGGTGAGTCGCTAGGGCAGAGGTGATTCACCAATTAAATCATGATGCAGCAGGGCGTTATGTTTTCCATTTGCATTTAATTTAAATAGCATAGAAGTGCATAATTAAAAAACTTACTTTTTAAAATTGAAATAATCGCAGTTTCATGTTGCACTATCTACTGCTAATAGGAATTGTATTGGCACAATAATGCAGCACGAATACCACCCCTCCTCTCCCCATCTCCGGTATTTTAAAATCACATGGTGAAAATGTAGCACTTATGGTTGATTTATTTTGAAGTTTATTGGGATGCAGCATCTTGTGTACACAGTGGTCCTGGTGAGCACAAAGGTCAAATCCATTTAAGATCAAATGGAGCTTCAGACGTACATTTTTTCGAGGCAGGCTGTACCGCATGTCAACAATGATCCTTTACGACTTTGTGACAACTGCTCTTCCATGGCCTCCATGGACCATTGAGCTAATTAGCTTAGCATCGAGTTAGCATTGGTCGATCACTTCTTGTTTCCTATATTGCGAGGGGAGAGCAGTGATTAAGATGTGTTGGTTTAACAAAGTAAAAAGTGTGTCAACTGATCTGGATTGGAGATGTTTTTTTTAATAGCAGAAATCTGTGTGGTGACATGTATGTATGTTGAACTTCTTTCAATAACATTTCATCATCAGACCCTGCTGATTTTTCCCCTTGCCCATCGCCACAGGACTTCAGTCCATCCATTGATAGCTCACCCCCCTCTCTGATGGGCGGGACGAGATTTTAGTCAGCAAACATTGATGTGGTCCAGATTCACTCTGTCAGCCGACGAGCGTAGGGAGACCTGGATGGCCTAAAGGCTACTAGGGTAGGTTTTCGTGGGTGTGCTGTTAAGTTCATCAGTCGGAGCAGTGTACCCAGGTGTGGCGCTTGTAGTCACTGGTGAGGCCAAGTGTCCTTTAGTCAAGGAACACCAAGTTGCCTCGGTGCAACTGTCTGGTTGATCCCTGCCTCAAGAAGCACCGTTCATACTCCCCACATTCATACTCGCCACATTCATACTCCCCACGTGTAGGATTAAAGATGCATCCACTCCACTTCTTTCCCCACAATGGCAGGTTTTTATCCTTCACAAAATGTTCCTTTCAATGTTCTTTCCTATAATATTACTTGAAGAAATGGCCTTGTCGATATGTGTGTGCAGGTTTGTGTACTCTGTACTCAGTAAACATGCAACGTTGGCTCAAAGTTGGCCTAGCATTCCATGTTCACTGCGTATGTACTTTGTTTGCAGTGGTTTTTCTGTGTATGCATGTATGTACAGTGAGGGAAAAAGCATTTGATCCCCTGCTGATTTTGTACGTTTGCCCACTGACAAAGATATGATCAGTCTATAATTTTAATGGTAGGTTTATTTGAACAGTGAGAGACAGAATAATAACAAAAAAATCCAGAAAAACGCATGTCAAAAATATTATAAATTGATTTGCATTTTAATGAGGGAAATAAGTATTTGACCCCCTCTCAATCAGAAAGATTTCTGGCTCCCAGGTGTCTTTTATACAGGTAACGAGCTGAGATTAGGAGCACACTCTTAAAGGGAGTGCTCCTAATCTCAGCTTGTTACCTGTATAAAAGACACCTGTCCACAGAAGCAATCAATCAGATTCCAAACTCTCCACCATGGCGAAGACCAAAGAGCTCTCCAAGGATGTCAGGGACAAGATTGTAGACCTACACAAAGCTGGAATGGGTTACACGACCATTGCCAAGCAGCTTGGTGAGAAGGTGACAACAGTTGGTGTGATTATTCGCAAATGGAAGAAACACAAAAGAACTGTCAATCTCCCTCGGCCTGGGGCTCCATGCAAGATCTCACCTCGTGGAGTTGCAATGTTCATGAGAACGGTGAGGAATCAGCCCAGAACTACACAGAAGGATCTTGTCAATGATCTCAAGGCAGCTGGGACCATAGTCACCAAGAAAACAATTGGTAACACACTACACCGTGAAGGACTGAAATCCTTCAGCGCCCGCAAGGTCCCCCTGCTCAAGAAAGCACATATACATGCCCGTCTGAAGTTTGCCAATGTACATCTGAATGATTCAGAGGACAACTGGGTGAAAGTGTTGTGGTCAGATGAGACCAAAATAGAGCTCTTTGGCATCAAGTCAACTCGCTGTCTTTGGAGAAGGAATGCTGCCTATGACCCCAAGAAAACCATCCCCACCGTCAAACATGGAGGTGGAAACATTATGCTTTGGGGGTGTTTTTCTGCTAAGGGTACAGGACAACTTCATCGCATCAAAGGGACGATGGACGGGGCCATGTACCATCAAATCTTGGGTGAGAACCTCCTTCCCTCAGCCAGGGCATTGACAATGGGTCGTGGATGGGTATTCCAGCATGACAATGACCCAAAACACACGGCCAAGGCAACAAAAGAGTGGCTCAAGAAGAAGCACATTAAGGTCCTGGAGTGGCCTAGCCAGTCTCCAGACCTTAATCCCATAGCAAATCTGTGGAGGGAGCTGAAGGTTCGAGTTGCCAAACGTCAGCCTCGAAACCTTAATGACTTGGAGAAGATCTGCAAAGAGGAGTGGGACAAAATCCCTCCTGAGATGTGTGCAAACCTGGTGACCAACTACAAGAAACGTCTGACCTCTGTGATTGCCATCAAGGGTACCACCAAGTACTAAGTCATGTTTTGCAGAAGGGTCAAATACTTATTTCCCTCATTAAATGCAAATCAATTTATAACATTTTTGACATGCGTTTTTCTGGATTTTGTTGTTGTTATTCTGTCTCTCACTGTTCAAATAAACCTACCATTAAAATTATAGACTGATAATTTCTTCGTCAGTGGGCAAACGTACAAATCAGCAGGGGATCAAATACTTTTTTCCTTCACTGTATGTGTTGTGTAATAGTAATGGTTATATACATGCCTTTGTTAATCTACTGCTGAATGGTGGTTGTCTTCTGCTGTGTCAGTCCTGGGGGTTGTTGGACCATTCTTCACCACACTGGTCAGTGCGGTTTGGTGAAAGTGCAGTGCAGGACCAGTCAAAATATCACTCGCCACCGATGTTAGATGTCACCTGGAACTGAACACAGACCTCATAAGTGCAGTGTGTTAACTATTGCACCACGAATTCTCATGTGTGTTAAATAATATATTTGATAGATCATTATCAGTCCACCGCTGAAGGCCTTTCCATGCCGGTGAATTTCGCGGGAGTTGTTTGACCATATTTCACCATGCCGGTCAATGAAGGTTCGTGTTATATACGATATTGTAAATATGCTTTGTGTTGAAGAAATGTCTTGATTTTGTCCGTCTCATTTTCCCCAACTAGACAGCTCTGGATGCATACAGCTTCCTGGTGTTTGCAGCAGTATGTTTGGGAGCTGCGATATTTCTCTACTTCGTGCTGCCGGAGACCAAAAAGAGGACCTTTATGGAGATCAGCCGCTCATTTGACAAGTTGAACAAAGTACAAGCAAGCATACTAGCTTTGGAGAAAAGAGAGTCTGTTAATGTTGTCTCTGCAGAATTCAAAACCATCCAGTCCCAGAATTTAGTAACCCATATGTAATATATATCAGCTACGGTCATTCTACTGCTGGATGAAGGCCTCCCCACGCTGCCGCCACCTCTCACGATTCTGTGATGTTATTATGCACCCAGCACCCGCATGGAAATTGATTTAATTGCTCCACCTAAAAAAAAGAATGTGTGTATACTTAGACTTCTTCTTGTTTCTTCTTCAAGCTGTCGTGAAAATAACAGGCGTGGAAGAAATGCTTTCCATACACAGTACAAATGAGTGCTACTTGTGTTAAAGACACTTTTCTGGAAGCTTTTAGAAAGACACCATGACATTTCAAAATAAGTGGAATTTTTTGAGAAAATTATTTGAAAAGTAATTAAGCCGTTACTTGTATTTTGTGTAAAAATGTGTGGCTTGCGTGTGGAAATTAGATGAGACAGGCCTTTTGATTTACACATTGCAAATGTTTAAACGTGCTCAGTTTAATTTTGCTCATTCCAGTTTTGAATGCATTTGGCCCACATTTTCTGCACGTACTTAAGGCCCTTTATTTTGGCTGCGTATGCTTGAATAAGGGTTGCACCTTATCTAATGTGGTTCTGAATTGCGCAAACGTTGATGCAAAGTGTATTATTTTGTGGAGCTTCATACATCGCTGACATCATGAGCACATTAAGGTATCAAATCATTGTTCACCATGGGGTACTTAACATGGGTTTTTATTTCCTAATACAAGATAATCGTAATTGCCTCATAAACAACAGGAAAGAGTGATTAATGCTTCAACGGAAAGACAAGCTCTCTTCCCCAGGAGTATTCACACACTTTCTTTTTCAGGTTTATATTATTCAGCAGGCTAGTTAATAATACTTAATTACATATGAACGAGATTGTTTTTATAAACCCTGTCCATTGTTTGGTAGAGAAGATAAAGTGTACTATAATTGTATATTTATCAGATTTGTTTAATGTTTTGTGCTGTATTGGTATACACATAATTAATATTTTTTTTATTAAAAAAACATGTTGATGTTGGATCAACAATATACAGCTATATTTGTAGTGCCGTTTACAAAATTCTATACAGTATGTGGCCTTATTAGTCTTATCGTAATTTGTTGCTGCTCATACCATGGCTCAATACCACCTTAGATGCTATATTTAGAAGCCAAATTGTATTGAGATACAATTTGTCCATCGCCACTAGATGGCTCTCTTGTTAGCCAAGTGAAAATTGCTGTCTTCAGTTTCTTTTTCTTAGCCACGTCAAATAATTCCTTTACATTTCTGTAAGGAGATGATGTATTCATGTTGAACTGTGTTACTCATAGGGGTTTTTTTAACGTACATTTAAAAAAAATGTATTCCAATTATGCTATGGGCATCATGCCACGTGAAGCTGCATCCATTCGAAAATCTCACCGATCAGTGGGTCTTTTTCTTTTATTATTTCCCTTCTACGTGACTTTACCGAAATAACCAAGAAGATGGGTCTTATGATGTCGCAATATGGTCTGCAGAGATATTTCATGAGAAAAAATGTTTCTAATTACTTTTTTGTATCCTATACACAGGAGGGAGTGCACTTTTTCACATGCTGTCCTACGACATTCAAACCGATGTGTTTACTGTTCATAGTGGGAATTTTGCTAAATTTAAATGCCACATTTTAAGTGGTGTTTTGTGTGTGTATAGTCATTAGTGACCAGGCTAACAACCGGTCAGCTCGCTACACTTGAGAACCCGGTTTAATCACAGGTAGCTGAAACCCCGATCTGAAGTCCAGGATCTCAGTAGTGCCACCCAGCCCCCTTCCTTGTTAGAGCTTTTAAAAAAAATATTAATGAAATTTGATGTGCACAGGGAACATTTTTGAGAGTAAATGCACATGACACTGCTAACCTATGATATTCACACAATGTATAGCACGCAGTGTACATGTTTGTCAAAAAGCGAAACGAAAAATGATAAAAACTACAAAAGTTTTATAGATGTATTTTTTTTTATTTTCGGCCGACATGTTTTGATCATTTCAATTTTGAGCAGTTGTCACAAATGCATATTTTAGTAACTTTACAAAAAGATCAACAGTGGATGTTTTTGTGATATATATGAATAATGTGATCCTACTTTTAAGGAGAAAAAAATCCCGGACATGATTGGGATATGAATGTGATTGAGATAATAACAATTATGTTGTCTGCCTGTAACTTTCCCATTGCTGGGAAAACATCTCCCCCCCTCCCCTGCAATTTTTTTGGCTTGGTTGTTCTTGCCCAGAGCAGCTTGATAAAGCTATCTTGATTTAAAGTTTTCGTGACTGCAGGGATTCATATTCTTGGTTATTTCGGTAAAGTCACGTAGAAGGGAAACAATAAAATAATACAAATATAAAACAATAAAATTCTCACGGTGTGGTTTTCACACCTGATGATGATTGCTTGTGTTGCAGTCGAAACGTCGTGAGAATTTTTTTTATATTTTTATTTTATTGTTTCCATTCTACGTGACTTTACCGAAAGAACCAAGAATATAAAAAGCTATCTTGGTATAAATACATGCAACAGCCGACTGGTAGTGTCCCATTGCTCTTCTTATCAACGTATGGTCACGTGTGTGATAGCGTCAATTGATTTTCGGCATCACAGATGCACGGATAATTTTAGACAAACGGTTAACCCACTCGAGATCGATTTCACGTGAAGTTATACTCTATTTGGGACGCTCGACAAGGAAAAATAACTATCCTTTTTTAATGTTAGGATAAACTGTGGTAGCACATGACCATTTGCAACAGACATGGGAAATATTGGCATAAATATGGCAACATTGTGAAGATTCAAGTGTGTGCAGCACTCAATCATGACTGAAGCAAAGAAAGTAAAATGCTGATAAACTGACCGTAACCCATTGAACAAAGAATAGTGCATCTGTAAGCAGATTCTTGTTTGTAGCAATGGGATTGCCATGCAACCTTTAAATGCGGCATTTCCCGCGATGGAAATGCACTCCATGGTTTCCTTGGGTTTGTGGATATTTACGTGCTTTAAAATGGCTCCTAAACCACCACCAATTTCGGTGTCACTGTCTTTTGTATCAAGCTGCTCGGAAAAGGTCATTTATTCAGTGGTAGGGTAGCTTACTGTAAGCGTGTGACATTCTAAAAGTAGCCATTGAAGTTGTCCTGCGGTGATGTTTTATGATGTGAGTATAGTTTTTTTTTAATTCTTTCACTCTGAATGTAACTCAATTTTACTTTATTTCCACTTCTATCGGAAAGTGGTCGCTGACTTCCAATGCCTGAAAGCAAAACAGTTTGTTACAGTTAATCACGAGAAGAGAGTAATGTGTTTCTGTTTGTGTGAGATAATGATTCAGTCGTGTTATGCAGTCATATGCCACTGTGTTTGGAATGTAATTAAGCGACCATGGTGCAGTTTAAAAATGTTGGCAGGCTTATGAGATGTTGGACCTTTCTCTGCACACCCGTCTGGATGATAATGGCTTCGCAAATAGATTTTCTCACTGCTCTATGTGGGCTAATTATTTACTGTGTGCAAACATGTGATTGCTGCTAATCTACCACCTGTCATGGATGGCTGTTGTACCGCAGTGGCATGAAGTCAATTGCACGTTAGATTGCGTGTACTGTATTTAAAAAAAGCCACGTTCTATTAACATATCCTTTCTATGAGTAGTTTATCAGATGTTTCAGTGATCTCTTTACGTATGTCCTTTTTGGGAAAAATGCAGAGATGTAACAATGAATGGGTCTGAGCAGTCTCAATTTATACTCTTTGGTTCTATTGGGTAAAGTCACGTAGGTGAAAATAAAATAACAAAAAATAACAAAAAATCACGACGTTTCGGCCACAACACAAGCGGCCTTCATCAGGTGAAGGGACGAGACTGTCTGGAGGACAGCGCTGGAGTGAGAGAAGCCACGCTTAGATCACGACCTTTACGCTTGTGATCGCGGCATCTTTTGAGGAAGGTCAGCGTCTCGATGAGCTGTGACTTCTTGTCCCGTTGTCTGTTAAAAGCTCTAACAGATAGGTGAAAGCCCTAGAACAGTCTCAATTTGTCTCTTAGCTTTCCTTCAATGTGTGCAGTGCTGTGTTATGCATCTTAGCGCAGCTACACGCAGGCGTTTGTTTGCTCACCTTAGTTTTCTAACTTTGTTCAAATTTAATACACATTTACGTGAAGGCGAAATAGAGTAACATCAATTTGACGCCATTTTTGGTTATTCAAACATTTCCACGTTTAATAGCAGATTAGCATCAGACAAGGTGCACATATCATTGTCAAGAGCTCCCAAGGTGACTTACCCATCACTACTGAACTATACAAGCCCTTCGCCATGTATGCACTGATATGTCGATAAAAGGTTGTGCTTTTTGTGTGTTGTCTGAGGTCATGCCTCTTAGTGCAAGGAGATGTGGAAATGAGTAACGCAATACAAATAAGCACTTTGTCACAGAGATTGCTTGTCAGTCAGGCTTGCAGTGGTGAGGCACGTCCATGATTTTTCACATCTTGTGCAACCTTTTTTCACTCTTTCAATAATTCGAATGGTTATATTCAACTTTCAACAGATGTCAGACTTGCAAAGTGATGTTTTGGCCACAGTTCGCAGTTCACAGCCCTGAGCCAGCGGTGAAACAGTGGTGGAAGTTCCACATTTTGCTGTGGTTGCACCCGAGTCAAGAGCCGCATGGCTCACAGGGTTATACCTAATAAATTAAACTGAAAAAAACTGAACACATTCCTGCGGCGGGTAGGTGAGTTGATTTCCACACAAAGTGGTTCTCATTTGATCGACCTCAAGAGGTATGATGGGCTGAGTCAACCTCCAAACGGGGATATGAACTCGCAAATCGCGAGCCGTTCGCTCTACGGCTGAGCCGCCACCTGGCCAGTTTAAAACAAAAAAAAACTGGAAATAGCTGAGTAGCACATCGCGGCTGGAAGAGTGCAGGGCATTAATATTCTTGTGTTCGGTCTGGTCATTGTGTAGATGTTTTGTGTAATATATATTTAGAAGTGGATTGCTTTTGTGATGCATCAGTATTTGTTTTACCTCTGTCTCAGAAAGTCCATACGCTGCTTGGAAGTTGAAGGGCTTAGCCGACCCAGGCACAACTGCTCTGTAGAGTGGTTCACCTTTAACCACGATTCTGCCCAGCGTACAAGTTTTAATTGAGTGCATTGGTTACGCTGAATATCCCGATGGACATGTAAAGCCGTAACACGTAATTCAACACACTTTGGCAGGATGAACAGTGCAGCGTAAATGTTAGTATCGTTTAAAAGAAGCTACAAAAAAACCGTTTAAAACTGAAACGTGTCATTGGTGCTGTAAGTAATATATACATTTGAAGGAAACTAAATATGTGATTTATTTATGGTATTAAGTATGTTGTGAGCACAATGATTGTGAAACACATTTAAATATGCTTTAATTGAAGCTCGTGAATGATTTTGATGTATTGGTATATATTTTTTTCTTCTACGTTTACCTCTTAGAGATATCATTTAAAAGTCCAGTACATCTTAGTAGGGTGCACTTTGTTGGGTAAAGTGTGGGTACTCCCACAACTTCCTGGAGGTGTGGACAGCATGGAAGAGTAGGCCAATTACCCTCCAGAGGGGACCTCTACATCTCCCTCTAGTGGAGGTCTGTTATGCCAGCAGTGGTGTAAGCAAGAAATTATGGGGTTGCACCTCTACCTTTAAACAAATATATATATTTTTTTGCGTCTTGGATAAAAATAAATATATGATGTAATGTTTGCGGCTGACTACATTAATGTGCACAAGCAAGCTGCACGGTAATATGATTATCTTGTGACCATATAAATGAATGCCCAAAATACCCGATTAATATCGCCTTCATTCTCCGCCCGTGCACACGGTGAATACGATATTCACAGAGGCGGAAGTTTGCATTCGTAAATTGTGCGCTGTTGCCCCATGATAGCACCAATGGCCATTTGTTCAATCTTTTGTTCAAGGTGGAGAACAAGAACCAACGTGTAAAAGGTTTAAGTGTTCTTCCTTTAAGAGTGACATCATATACCATTTTTATTAGACATTCAGTGTGACATCTGCCTGAAACGCTAAGTATTCCTGAGGCATGCTTTTATACGCATTTGTCTAAACAAGCATCACTTTTGATTTAAAGCTTTCGTGACTGCAGTAATTCATATTCTTAGCTCTTTCGGCAAAGTCACGTTGAAGGGAAACAATAAAATAATAAAATATATATAAAACAATAAAAATTCTCACGACGTTTCGACCATAACACAAACGGTCGTCATCAGGTGTTGATGATGATGACGACCGTTTGTGTTATGGTCGAAACGTCGTGAGAATTTTTTATTGTTTTATATATATTTATTATTTTATTGTTTCCCTTCAACGTGACTTTACCAAAAGAGCTAAGAATAAGCATCACTTTGTTCTATTTAACAGTGTTTGTGTGTTTTATAGCATATTCTTTGGGTCTTTCGGTAAAGTCACGTAGGACAATTTTTTTTTTTACAAAAACTACGACGTTTCGATCGCAACACAAGCAATCGTCATCAGGACAAAAAAAATAGGGAAAAAGCTGCTGAAGCAGGCTGTTTTAAAGGTTTGAAATGGGTGTAGCCCAAGGGTCATACACGAAGTGGGCTAGTGATGTTAAAGTGAGAAACCTTTAAAACAGCCTGCTTCAGCAGGCTTTCCCCCTCCTTTTTCCTCCCGATGACGATTGCTTGTGTTGCGATCGAATCGTAGTTTTTTTGTAAAAAAAAATTGTTCTACGTGACTTTAACGAAAGACCCAAGGAATAGGAATTCCTGCAGTCACGAAGGCTTGATGTCATGTTTTATAGCGTTGCCACAATTTCACATTTCAATGTTGATCTGCGTTATGAAAACCAGTGTTGAAGTAAAACCAGAGTATATTTCGTAATATTCAGCGTTTTAAATTTGTAAAATCAAGGTTGGTCACCAGTTGCTAAAACCACACAAACCGTGTTTCAAAAGTCGTTTTACAACCACTCACTTCTACAACATGAAGACCGTATGCTAAATGCATTTTTAAATATTGACAATTCATGTGTTTGTTTTAAACCACACAGACTAATAAATATATATTTTTTTACTTTGAGCAAACTCAAATTTTGTCTCAACCAAACTATTTTTTTCTAACAATGTAGCAGCAATAGATTTTGGATTTGTAAGCAGCATATTTGTGACATCTCCAAATGTTGTTTGGGGAGGGTTGACAATTTCAAGGGCAGAGGTTGGGAAGTGGGGTAGGAGGAAGGGTCATACAATGCAAAGTAAAAACAGGAATGTCTTAAACCTGGAATTAAACAAATGTCCTGGAATTGCATAAGAAAAACTAAATATGTAGTGATTGTTCTATGTGAGCGCCTGCGTATTGCCATTTGCAGTGCATTTGAGTGTATTTTTAGCACTTTCTGTCTATGAAATAAAATCTTTAATGAAAGATAACAAAACATATGGATTCGATCTTCATTTGGCAGTGTGGGTTCGAAAGCCATGGATTGTGACAAGTAAGTAAATCTGGCACACCATGTACCGTGGTGCTTGTAATTGCTCACCTGTCATACGCGCATCTGGTGTTCGTGTTGACTGTGGTGTCTGTTTCGTCGCCAATCAGCCAGTGGAAGCCTTCCTCCATCCTGATTCGAATTTGACTCCACTTCTTCCGTGTCACGTACGTGCAGCCAGCATTAAAATCTCCCAGAAATATCATGTTCTGTGGCAAAACAATTGCACAAGTTACTGGTCATAAACTTGTATTTTGTTTGACAGAAGCAAGTTAAGGCATTTTGTTAAATTTAATGATGGGTAGTGGGTATATTTCGTCGAGTGTAGTAGCTTTTTGTAACCGCTGTAGCAACAGTGCTCACAACTGCTGGCCCGTAATTTCTCGCCGCGTGCTTTGACACCATTGAACCGGGACGTTGCCAAGCTGCCAGCACCATCATTGGTGTTGGCCTGCCTCCAAAAGGCACATGTATTGACCGTGACGGCGTTTTAGGGGGCCTGGACATACACTGCACTCGCTTGACCTGAAATCTGTCTTCCACAAATTATAAAGTATAATTTCCTTTACCTCTGCTTTCCAGCGGTTCTTAACATCCATGTAAACATCGTAGAGCTCGTCCAACTCCTTTACGGAGGCCTCAGGGGTCGTGTGTTGTGGGATCAATATGAACTCTTTAATATCTGCATGGTACAAAGAAACACATTGGCCAAAGGCAAAAGTCTTTGCTGAAGAAGGAAAAATATATATAATATTTCAGTTATTTTAAAAATATAATTTAGGAAGTTTACAGAACAATTAAACCGTCACTGCAAACAGGTGACAGAAAAAAGGAGGCCCGTCATTTGTTGGGATGAAATTTTAAATCCTTAAATTTATACTCAAATGTCTAAATATAAGGCACGTAACGATGCATTGATGAAAATCAATTATACATGCATCGAATCGTGCATCATGTGGCAATTGATCATTTTTACGTGGTGATATTGCATTGTCAGTGGTGTATGAGTAACAAAAACAGAACTCAACATTTTTTGATTTAAAGCTTTCGTGACTGCAGTAATTCATCTTCTTAGCTCTTTCGGTAAAGTCACGTTGAAGGGAAATAATAAAATAATAAAATATATAAAACAATAAAAAATTCTCACGACGTTTCGACCATAACAAACGGTCATTATCAGGTGTGAAAAAACCAACGGCAAGAAACATTTGAAAGAAGTGTCGGTAATCATTTATTTATTTATTTTAAAAACGGTGTTCGTATTTATTCATAAAAGGTGTATTTATTTATTTATAAAAAAAAACGTTAGCGCCACACGCAGCGATTTGGCAGTTTATTTAGAAGGACGAGTCCATCTATGTTCTGAAAAGAGGAGGGGGGAGACGAAAAATTAATGTATGCTGTCTGAAAGCCACCGTAAGAGTGAACAATCAATTAAGACCCGAAATCGTTTATCAAATCCTTCCAATGATTGCTAAGCCAGAATCCATCTTCTCGGTTGAAATTGTCTCTGTGCTTGTATATGTGGATAGCCTCATGAACGAATCTCTCATGGTAGCCAGATGGCTTACAAAGAACATCTGTCTTGGAGAAATCAATGTCATGTGAGCCTACTGAATTATAACAATGATCTGCCACGGCCGAGGTGTTGGTCCTACCGTGTTTAAGGTCTGCTTTGTGTTCACGAATGCGGTCCGAGACATGGCGTTTGGTTTCTCCAATGTAACTACTACCACAGAGGCAACTTAGTACACCAAGCTCTTAAGGCTAATGGTTACTCCGACTATACAATCCTCAAAGCTATCACTCAAACCATGAAGAAGGACCCTCTTGAGGAGCCTTTCAAAACCATCACTTTACCCCACATTGCGGGGATCACAAAAAAGATCTCCAAAATCTTGAATAAACACAAGATCCAGGTCCGTTTCAACACATTACATAAAATCCGTGATCTGGTTCCGTCTGTAAAAGATGTGATTCCGGACATACAGTACCCTGGTGTCTACAAACTAAGTTGCCTCTGTGGTAGTAGTTACATTGGAGAAACCAAACGCCATGTCTCGGACCGCATTCGTGAACACAAAGCAGACCTTAAACACGGTAGAACCAACACCTCGGCCGTGGCAGATCATTGTTATAATTCAGTAGGCTCACATGACATTGACTTCTCCAAGACAATTTCAACCGAGAAGATGGATTCTGGCTTAGCAATCATTGGAAGGATTTGATAAACCATTTCAGGTCTTAATTCGTTGTTCCCACTTACGGTGGCTTTCAGACAGCATACATTAATTTTTCGTCTCCCCCCTCCTCTTTTCAGAACATAGATGGACTAGTCCTTATAAATAAACTGCCAAATCGCTGCGCGTGGCGCTAACGTTTTTTATAAATAAATAAACCGTTTAAAAATAAATACATTTATGCAAACCGACACTTCTTTCAAATGTTTCTTGCCGTTGGTATTCACACCTGATGATGACCGTTTGTGTTATGGTCGAAACGTCGTGAGAATTTTTATTGTTTCATATATATCTTATTATTTTATTGTTTCCCTTCAACGTGACTTTACCGAAAGAGCTAAGAATAAGAACTCAACATGTTCGTCAATAACACACCACATCATGTGCTATAGCACGTGCAATGAAGAAGGGTCATTGCCTGAAACGTCGCCTCATTTTTCTTTTTAAGGACACTTATTGAAGAATAACATTTTTATTACATTATATTATCTTCCTCATAGCTGTTTTACATTCAACGTATACCGTGCCTCATATGCAGTACATCTCAAATTATGTTATCGTGTTACATTTGAGCTTATGGAGCAAATTTCCGTATTAACAATAAACAACGCAAATAAAATGGTAAAATTATTTCCAAAAAACGTGATAATTTAATTGTAACCTCAGTTCATCAAATTGTTGTGGGTGGTCGGTGTGGGGTGGAGGTGGGAGGGCGGTGAGGGTATCAGGGGATGAGGTGATCGGTGAATTGTTGCATGGCCTCAATAGAACAGAAAAGCTTTTTTGTGAATCTTTAATACGAACCTGTCGTGGGTGAGCTAAATTTGACAACAAATGGCTCTCTGGAAAAGGCATCCACATCTCCGACTTGCTCATCCATATACTGGTATCTGTCCAACACACTCACCATGGTTTGTCTAAAAAAGAAAAAGGCACAATTACCTTACAACGAACAATGTTTACCATGCATATTATTCCTTCCAATAGACAAATATTGTCACGCATATTGAGGCAGAAATTTCAATTCATATTAAATGCCAACATTGAAGACAGTCTTAATTTTCACCTGGCATCTTGGCATAATACAATTTATTTTATTCTTTTGGCAAAAGAAAAATATATTTTGCCAATGGTTTTCTATTCTTTGTTCTTTTATCTCATTCGCACTTGAAAAGCAATGTGCTCTCAGTAAATAAAGCAATTGTCCTCATGTCATTGCATTGGCTGAAATCACACCGCATGCAATTGTGCACATACCAAATTAGCACGTGCATAGAATTACATTTTTCTTCCGTGCAATTTCTTGTCAAACTAAAAATGTTGGAGAAAATGATTTACCTATCTGGAGGGCTTCATATTATCATTGCTACTTAAAATGCAAATGTGTTCTATATTTGTCATAAATGAAATATGCACCAGCCATTTCCCCTCCATAAATGTGTGGAAAGATGTCTGTGCACCAAGCGCAAGAAGGGTACCTGTAGATAAAGGCGTACTGCTCCTTGTAGGACTTTCTTCCTAAGCGATCGCTGATGATGTAGGTGTAAGGCTTTCGTCTATCTCCTCTGGGGAGCATAGGAAATAACAAGCGTTGCGAACGAGCAACACAAATCGGTCGAAATATTAGAAAAGGTTAGTACACTAGTTTTTTTATTAGTGTCGAGTTCAGCGCTCCTGTAAGTTGTCGTTCTTCTGACGTACCAGATTTCTTTTGTTCCATATGGTTTGGTGAATGCAGTATTTAATGACTTCAACGGAATTTTAAAAGACAAGATAGGTGAATATGAATAGTATGGGTGTGATGGGTTAGTGGAGATTTCAGTTTGCGGATGCCCATTATAGTTGTATACTATGCAATATTTTAAATGATGAATTTCTTTAAGTTATTGATTTAACTGTAAAACATGCTTTACACTTGTTTCACGATATTTTTTGTATGTTCCTGTATTTGCCTGATATAAAAAAAACACCATTTGCGAAGTTGTAATCATACCAGTGCTTAAAATTCTCAAATTTGTAAAAGCTATGAAGAAATTTGCAAGACTGTCCTGTGCAGAAAATATAGTTTGTATGATGATGGAAGAACAACACGAAGACATCTAAGAAGTAAAATAAAATTAACCGAAGATGAAGTAAAAAAAACATTCACAGCTGCTACCACACACCTCTTAGTAAGCTTCACATTTTATTATTGTGCAAAATATTTAAGGTTATGAAAAGCATTTACTTGGGCTAAATGCCAATGAATTCTGAGGCATACATTATCACTGATATTTCCATGCATAGAGAAATTGTAGGCAATCTGGATGGAAAATATATTACTTTAAATATATCACTTTGCACCTACATTATTAAGAAATACATGCAATGTTTTAAAAGCACACAAGTGGGTTTTAGAAACAGTGGGAATGTGTTAACACGCTTTTTGTGGCATTTTAAATGTACAAATAACGGGTTTTTGTTTTTAAATGACAGTTCTAGATGGAAACAATGCTATTCCTTTTAATAACCATCTAATTGTGACCACAAGGGTTATACAAATAATGTAGGACAATGCTATTTTAAATCACATATACACTGCAAAATGTACGGTAATTTGTTTTCGCTCAAATGTGTATGATATACAATGGCCAAAAGTGCAAGTAAAAAAAATACTCGATGGGTAGAGATTTGTGCTTTTCTGCAACCACAGCTAATATTGAAATACAGTACGCAGAAGAGGTTTGCTGTCAATACCTGCTCGGGAACCTGCTTGTATGTGAATAATATGCAGTTTTTTACACATGGGTGGGTGCCTTCTTTATTCAAAGCAAGTACTAGTTTTTGAACAATATATTACTTGGTCCTTTCGTAGCAAGGTAACTTGGCAAAGTAATACATTTCTACTGAGATTTAAGAACAATGTAGCGAAATAGTGTATTTTTCACCTCACATGACATTTGTAAGAAATTCATTTTTGCAATGGATTTTTTTTTACATATTTTGCAGTATTGCACTGATGGGGTTTGAGCAGCACTGCGTGCTACAACCAACAAAAGCATCGGAGAGCTCGTAACATCTTGTTTGAGAAAGATAATTTTAACCTTGAATTGTTACGTTAAATAATTAATTTATGAAGCACATATCGCTAATTCAATTATTACAGTCACAAATAATGTCTCTTAAACGTACCTGTTAAGTTCATTTACCAGCGACACTAATGATGATCCGGTGGAATCTTTCACTTCCATCACGAGCATGATGTCACATCGAGAAGTAACCTGAGCATAATAAAACCAAATGTTAAACATTGACACGTGTGTGTTTGTATTGCTGCAATGTATACGGTGAAGGAAAAAAGTATTTGATCCCCTGCTGATTTTGTACGTTTGCCCACTGACAAAGAAATGATCAGTCTATAATTTTAATGGTAGGTTTATTTGAACAGTGAGAGACAGAATAACAAGAAAAAAATCCAGAAAAACGCATTTCAAAAATGTTATAAATTGATTTGCATTTAAATGAGGGAAATAAGTATTTGACCCCTCTGCAAAACATGACTTAGTACTTGGTGGCAAAACCCTTGTTGGCAATCACAGAGGTCAGACGTTTCTTGTAGTTGGCCACCAGGTTTGCAAACATCTCTGGAGGGATTTTGTCCCACTCCTCTTTGCAAATCTTCTTCAAGTCATTAAGGTTTCCAGGCTGACGTTTGGCAACTCGAACCTTCAGCTCCCTCCACATATTTTCTATGGGATTAAGGTCTGGAGACTGGTTAGGCCACTCCAGGACTTTAATGTGCTTCTTCTTGGGCCACTCCTTTGTTGCCTTGGCCGTGTGTTTGGGTCATTGTCATGCTGGAATACCCATCCACGACCCATTTTCAATTCCCATGGCTGAGGGAAGGAGGTTCTCACCCAAGATTTGACGGTACATGGCCCCCTCCATCGTCCCTTTGATGCGGTGAAGTTGTCCTGTCCACCTCCATATTTGACGGTGGGGATGATGTTCTTGGGGTCATAGGCAGCATTCGTCCTCCTCCAAACACGGCGAGTTGAGTTGATGCCAAAGAGCTCAATTTTGGTCTCATCTGACCACAACACTTTCACCCAGTTGTCCTCTGAATCATTCAGATGTCCATTGGCAACTTCAGACAAGCATGTATATGTGCTTTCTTGAGCAGGTGGACCTTGCGGGCGCTGCAGGATTTCAGTCCTTCACGGCGTAGTGTGTTACCAATTGTTTTCTTGGTGACTATGGTCCCAGCTGCCTTGAGATCATTGACAAGCTCCTCCCGTGTAGTTTTGGGCTGATTCCTCACCGTTCTCATGATCATTGCAACTCCACGAGGTGAGATCTTGCATGAAGCCCCAGGCCGATGGAGATTGACAGTTCTTTTGTGTTTCTCCCATTTGCGAATAATCGCACCAACTGTTGTCACCTTCTCACCAAGCTGCTTGGCAATGGTCTTGTAGCCCATTCCAGCCTTGTGTAGGTCTACAATCTTGTCCCTGACATCCTTGGAGAGCTCTTTGGTCTTGGCCATGGTGGAGAGTTGGGAATCTGATTGATTGATTGCTTCTGTGGACAGGTGTCTTTTATACAGGTAACAAGCTGAGATCAGGGGCACTTCCTTTAAGAGTGTGTTCCTAATCTCAGCTCGTTACCTGTAAAAAAGACACCTGGGAGCCAGAAATCTTTCTGATTGAGAGGGGGTCAAATACTTATTTCCCTCATTAAAATGCAAATCAATTTATAACATTTTTGACATGCGTTTTTCTGGATTTTTTGTTGTTATTCTGTATCTCACTGTTCAAATAAACCAACCGTTAAAATAATAGACTGATCATTTCTTTGTCAGTGGGCAAACTTACAAAATCAGCAGGGGATCAAATACTTTTTTCCCTCACTGTACTACTGCTTTAATACAGTCCTGCACAGCTCACCTTAGTAATGATAGCCATGATATGTCCTTTAGCAGCCTTCGTTTCTCCAAACGATTGTATGTTGAAAGAACATATTTTTAGTGCATTAACTGCACAGGAACAAACTGCTAGCAGTAGCAGCAGGCTCAACAGAGACCGCATTTTTAGATTGAAATCTGCCAATATGCACAGAATTTATAAATGTATCCCAGAGCGAAGTGTGCATGTATCGACTCTCAAGCTCATCTGTTGCTTTAAACTGGTTTGGAAACGTTTAAATAGGGAATCGACACCCAGTGGCCGTATACCTCTTTGAATTTTGTGCTTTTTATACACTGTGGGTAAAGAGATCTCTGGGATTAACATTCTCAACCTCTGAGCTTTTGCTCTCAACCTTTACATACCATAGATAACATCCCTCAACGTTGTTTACAATGTGTCGGTCTCTGCAAATGTTTTCTCGAACAACGGCCAGTTTAAAATATTGGTGCGCTTTTCAGTTCTGTTACCTGCCAAAATCTTAAAGAAAAAGAAAGTTCAAACAAGAAATTCATTTTCAAACTGCAATCTTCCGGTGCTAATAACATACCTGATATGCATATATATTTTACAACATATGTTGTGTAGCTAATACATCATCATAGTTCACCTCATGATTATGCATACAGTACATAGGGTTGTACCTCGTGTTATTCAATATGAAGTCCGACGTTTGGCGCCAAGTGGCGACAGCTTCTTCAAGAATTCAGTTAAATCAGGAATTCAGGTCCTGAAGAAGTTCCCAGCACATGGATTGAAAGGTCGCGCACGATGCCAAACAACACGCGGTACAACCCGAACACACATCGGAGAGCTCGACAGAACAACTCTTCGACATCTGCTGCCGGTGGTAGCGCATTCGCTGCTCGTTGCAGAGTTTCACGGTCCTAATCCAGGGCTGCTCGCATGATGTCTCTGCGTGTAATTGAGATCACATTCTGTGGACGTGAGATGCCCTGGTGCCATTCGCAAGATTCGACCATTGTGTGCTGGCGTCGAGATCCTAATTTGCCATATTTGAAAATGGCAAATGACTCAATTGGGGCTATTGTGAAAAACAGACTAATGCCTCAAGTCACTCTTGCAATTGGTGAAACAAAATAAAGCTTGGAACTTGATACAATAAAATGTTTATCCTCGTGTAGCGTCGGAAACGCGTGTGCACACACCGCCTGTATCCACTTACCTGCCTGTTCGCCTGTATCCACTTACCTGCCTGTTCGCCTGTATCCACTTACCTGCCTGTTCGCCTGTATCCACTTACCTGCCTGTTCGCCTGTATCCACTTACCTGCCTGTTCGCCTGTATCCACTTACCTGCCTGTTCGCCTGTATCCACTTACCTGCCTGTTCGCCTGTATCCACTTACCTGCCTATTCGCCTGTATCCACTTACCTGCAGTTGCAGCCAGAGGTCTGTAGGGTGTGCTAGCCTGGACAAGGGGATAGCGAGAGAGCCGGACCCCAGGGAGGCTGGGTTCCCCTCCCCTACCCCAGGTGGGGGGCTGGGGGGGGGGCCTTCCAGGATCCTCTGGAAGGTTCCAGAAAGGGGGCGGTACCAGAGGCGGAGGTATCTCCTGGAGGTGTACAGAAGGGGCACCCCGAGCACAGCTCAGGGCAGTGCTACGAAGACTGAAGACAGCGAGACTAGGACCTTGGGACCTCGAGCCCACTGCCCTTACAAGGGCCGGGTTGAGCTGGGACCAGTGGTCGAGACCCGTACCTTGGCTGGGTCGGGTCAGGATAGCCTCCCCTAGGGCATCGATAGCCGGAGGGCTAAGAGTTGAGTTGCCAAGTATAAGTCACGTTAGCCCGGAGGCTGTACCTCCCTAGATAGGGGATGTTAAGGGAGTTGTATGTTAGTTATGAATAACCGTGTTGCCTCTACGACGTCTCCATCTCCATAAGAACTCACTATACTCGCAACCATACATAGAGACGTATGGCAAAGCAGTTCACACTGAAAGTGACCGTGTGAGAACAGGACTCGTTTTAACGTGACAGAATAGAAGATAGAAGGTACAGTGTTTTAGGTTTAAGGCGGTATTTATGAGAGGCACGGTGGGGGTAGTAGTGAAACTATGCGATATGTAGCATTGTTGAAAACGTGGATTTGCTATTTCATTAAGAATCAATTGTAAAAGATAAAAAAAACGATCCAGGCTTTGCCGAGGCAATATCAGGAAAGCCTTTGGGGTTTCTGTCCCAAATTGACCTGACGTTCATTGTTTAATAGTGTTGTGAAACCATGTTTCATTCGTCATCATTGGTATAAGCCATGATGTATCCATTGCTGTAATGAAGACCACACCAAGTTGTCGCCATCCCCCGTGGTCTCGTGATGCCACCGTTTATTCATCACCTGTACACGAGCCAATCTCATTACTTCATCTTATGGATGGTAATCATCTCAGCTGTATACAGTACTCTCGTTTGACTGCCATATAATTGCCATTTTGATCGTTGGCTATCATCCCATCTCTAAATGAAGGCTGTACCTCCTTAGGTATCAAGAAGATCTGTGTGTAGGTTACGCTGAGTCCGGAGGCTGTACCTCCTTAGAGTATCGGGTGAGGGGACCGTATACCACTCTGTATGTTAAGGACTGTATAAGAAAGGAATAACAATAAACAGAGTGTGCCTCCTAAGAAGTTTATTCGTCTTTACAACACTACACATGTAAATTTTGACTTAAAGCTTTCGTGACTGCCGGGACTTCATATTCTTGGTTCTTTCGGTAAAGTCACGTAAAAGGGAAACAATAAAATAATACAAATATAAAACAATAAAATTCTCACGACGTTTCGACTGCAACACAAGCAATCATCATCAGGTGTGTAAACCACAACAATAAAATTTGAATTTTTTCTTGTATACAGTACTCTTGTTTGACTGCCATTTAATTGCCATTTTTGATCGTTGGCTATCATCCCATCTCTAAATATGTCCTGCTCAAGTCCACACCTGATGATGATGATTGCTTGTGTTTCAGTCGAAACGTCGTGAGAATTTTATTGTTAAATATTTTTATTATTTTATTGTTTCTCTTCTACGTGACTTTACCGAAAGAACCAGGAATACTACACATGTACTTGATTTCCTTTCCCTTAGTGTAATTTCAAGCATACTATTTAAGAAAATCTAATATTTGACACTTGTTTTTATTCACTATCATATGATAGAACAGCCAATAATTGTTAAATGCTATCGAGGCTTTATCTGAATGTAACAGTGACAGCTAAGGTGAAGGTGTATTATTTGCTCATGCCATCGCTGGCAGAAGGGCCTCTGTTAGAAACGGCTCATTAGAGCGCCTCTATATTATATTTGACCAGATGTATAAGCCACATAACTCGTGTATCTGGTCAGATGCCTTGGAAGAGGGTCGAGTAGCCATGCCCTACCCCACGACACATGACCTGCTGATCAACTACCTGTGATGTATCCACAGTTGGATTTAATAAACCTGCCCTCTGTTTCAAATGCCATGGCAGAGATACAATGTGAGCTGCCATCTTCTGAATTGCAAGGCCAGTGTACTCAATTAAACGACTTACTACTATAAATTTTGATTTAAAGCTTTCGTGACTGCAGTAATTCATATTCTTAGCTCTTTCGGTAAAGTCACGTTGAAGGGAAACAATAAAATCATAAAATATAAAATATATATAAAACAATAATATTTCGAATTAAAGCTTTCGTGACTGCAAGGATTCATCTTCTTTGGTTCTTTCGGTAAAGTCACGTAGAATGAGAATAACATAATAAATTAATAAAATAAAATAACACAATGAAATTCTCACGACGTTTCGGCCACAACACAAGCGGCGTTCATCAGGTCAGACAGTCTGGTCCCTTCACCTGATGAAGGCCGCTTGTGTTGTGGTCGAAACGTCGTGAGCATTTTATTGTTATTTTATTTTATTAATTTATTATTTTATTCTCATTCTACGTGACTTTACCGAAAGAACCAAAGAAGAACAATAATATTGTTCTATATATATTTTATTATTGCATTGTTTCCCTTCAACGTGACTTTACCGAAAGAGCTAAGAATATGACTTACTACTATATTTTTTTATTTTACCAGGTAAGGCCCACTCTGCTGCATAGCCCTTTTTCAGAAGCGACTTGGCCACTAATGGTGGCTCGACGAAGTGGCCTCTCATGTGGATTTTTTTTTTATAGCAGCCAAATACTCTGAACGCGTGTTGATTCTAAATGTGGAGGGGAAAAAAAGCAGAGGACCTGGAGGAAAATCCACTTGACCATGGGGAGAAAGAACACGCAAACTCCAAATAAACAGGCGTCAGGGTCGGGATCAAAACCCCGTCCTTACGTACACAAGGCCAGGTAGTTAACATCTCGCCACCACGGCGCGCATTTGCACGGTTACCGCATATTTGATCCCCTGCTGATTTTGTACGTTTGCCCACTGACAAAGAAATGATCAGTCTATAATTTTAATGGTAGGTTTATTTGAACAGTGAGAGACAGAATAACAACAACAAAATCCAGAAAAACGCATGTCAAAAATGTTTTACATTGACATGCATTTTAATGAGGGAAAGAAGTATTTGACCCCTCTGTAAAACATGACTTAGTACTTGGTGGCAAAGCCCTTGTTGGCAATCACAGAGGTCAGACGTTTATTGTAGTTGGCCACCAGGTTTGCACACATCTCAGGAGGGATTTTGTGAGAACCTCCTTCCCTCAGCCAGGGCATTGAAAATGGGTTGTGGATGGGAATTTCAGCATGACAATGACCCAAAACACACGGCCAAGGCAACAAAGGAGTGGCTCAAGAAGAAGCACATTAAGGTCCTGGAGTGGCCTAGCCAATCTCCAGACCTTAATCCCATAGAAAATCTGTCGAAGAGTTGTTCTGTCGAGGCGTTTCTTGTAGTTGGCCACCAGGTTTGCACACATCTCAGGAGGGATTTTGTCCCACTCCTCTTTGCAGATCTTCTCCAAGTCATTAAAGTTTCGAGGCTGACGTTTGGCAACTCGAACCTTTAGCTCCCTCCACAGATTTTCTATGGGATTAAGGTCTGGAGACTGGCTAGGCCACTCCAGGACCTTAATGTGCTTCTTCTTGAGCCACTCTTTTGTTGCCTTGGCCGTGTGTTTTGGGTCATTGTCATGCTGGAATACCCATCCACGACCCATTTTCAATGCCCTGGCTGAGGGAAGGAGGTTCTCACCCAAGATTTGACGGTCCATGCCCCGTCCATCGTCCCTTTGATGCGGTGAAGTTGTCCTGTCCCCTTAGCAGAAAAACACCCCCAAAGCATAATGTTTCCACCTCCATGTTTGACGGTGGGGATGGTGTTCTTGGGGTCATAGGCAGCATTCCTCCTCCTCCAAACACGGCGAGTTGAGTTGATGCCAAAGAGCTTCATTTTGGTCTCATCTGACCACAACACTTTCACCCAGTTGCCCTTTGAATCATTCAGATGCTCATTGGCAAACT